TGTTACGTAACTCGGTAGTTAGCTACCCTTTCCTCTGTATGTTACGTAACTCGGTAGTTAGCTACCCTTTCCTCTGTATGTTACGTAACTCGGTAGGTAGCTACCCTTTCCTCTGTATGTTACGTAACTCGGTAGTTAGCTACCCTTTCCTCTGTATGTTACGTAACTCGGTAGTTAGCTACCCTTTCCTCTGTATGTTACGTAACTCGGTAGTTAGCTACCCTTTCCTCTGTATGTTACATAACTCGGTAGTTAGCTACCCTTTCCTCTGTATGTTACATAACTCGGTAGTTAGCTACCCTTTCCTCTGTATGTTACGTAACTCGGTAGTTAGCTACCCTTTCCTCTGTATGTTACATAACTCGGTAGTTAGCTACCCTTTCCTCTGTATGTTACATAACTCGGTAGTTAGCTACCCTTTCCTCTGTATGTTACATAACTCGGTAGTTAGCTACCCTTTCCTCTGTATGTTACATAACTCGGTAGTTAGCTACCCTTTCCTCTGTATGTTACGTAACTCGGTAGTTAGCTACCCTTTCCTCTGTATGTTACATAACTCGGTAGTTAGCTACCCTTTCCTCTGTATGTTACGTAACTCGGTAGTTAGCTACCCTTTCCTCTGTATGTTACGTAACTCGGTAGTTAGCTACCCTTTCCTCTGTATGTTACATAACTCGGTAATGTGATGAATCTTTATTATTTTATATCCTTTCTTGAGAAACATTTCCTGTATGTCTGAGGGCCATGGATAACTTCAGGGGTGTATTCATTAGTCGGGAAAGTGACAAAAAACTAGTTTCTATTGGACGCATTCAGGTAGGTCCCTCCCCGTTTGGTTCTGTTTGGTATTCCTCACGCCGATTCTGTTGCAAAACGTTTCTTAAAAGGGAGCAGATGGAATGAAAAGGGGAGCCTGAATTTGTCCAATAGAAACTCTTGTTTTAGTTGCAAAACGTAAACTGTTTGGACTAACGATTGCACCCAAGGTATTCTCCAGGCTGTCAGCAGCTCGCTAGACCAACCGAGAGGTGGGGCCAGTACTGGATTGAGCAGAGTAGCACGATGTTACCGCCACCTTTGTTTGACCGGTGTCAGATGATAGGCCTTAGAGCACTGCGCCACTCAGGAGGTTAACCCACGCTGTATTTGAAAAAACGACACATTCCAAAAAACATTTAACAAGACTAGGCCAACGAAAGAGGACATAGACATAATATTGAACATTTAAAAACACTTAGGTCTCCCAGCTGAAGGGACCCGACCAATGGGGTCTGGCCGAGTGCAATGCGGATACTTGCAAAGGCTACAAGTCCAACGTTCATTCAAGATCAGCTCCCCCCTGCCAAGACCTGCCTGCACTCTCGGCTCTACCTTATATCAGCTTCTCAGAGTCTCGGGCAGAGTCTTGCAAGCAGGGCACAGGCGATTAGTTCATGATTTGGTTACATCCTCCCGTACAAACTGTCCTACAGCTTCCTCACAATAATAAGGATGCTGATTGGCTTTTATAGCTGTCACAGACCAACACTAGTGCTGTGTTGTTCCTAACTAAAGTTGAAAGGTTGTAATTTACCACTTGGATGCATTCACATGCTTTGAACTTGTTGAGAAACTCAAGATTGGCTAACGGCCAACAAGCTGAGTCAACCATGAACTAAAAGTACAGCTATCACGCTTGTGAACAAATTATAGTGTTCAAAAACTACATCAATAGATTGCTTTTTATACGTGTTTTGTTGTTGTTGTTACAGTTAACTGCCGAAAATGCTATTATCGAGGTAATTTCTTTAGTAGGTGACATCAAAATGCTACTAAGGAGGTCATTTCCTTAGTAGGTGACCTCAAAATGCTATTATCAAGGTCATTTCTTTAGTAGGTGACGTCAGAGGTCAGCCTGTGTGAGAAGTCGGAGCTCAGGGATGATATGCAGCGTTCATATGCTAGTCCGAACTACGAAACTCAGAAATTTCCGACTTGCTGATCAATTGAATTTGGCACGTGTATAGCTACAACCATTTAGCAAGTCGGAAATGTCCAAGTTTCCTAGTTCCGACTAGCATGTGAACGCGGCAATAGACGAGGTTCCCACTAGTAATTACGAGTTGGACGGGCGTTCAAGTGGATTTTTCGGAGTCTTATGTGGCAAATACCACCTTCCCACTTGATTATGAATGCAGTTTATGTAGGCCGGAGGATGAGGAGGCCTCGCTGTGGTGGCAATAAATATAACCTTTAAATGCAGTCCTGCTACCATCAGGACCAGTATTATATCTAGGTAAAGTATATTTATTTGTGTGTGGTGCGTGTGTTAAATCATGACAAAAGCCATACCTCATGAATTGTAAGGGCTCGATTTAATCCTTATCACGGAAGTTCAGCACTATAGCGCGATTTAAATTGAAAGGTAATTTCCGATTGAGACGACATATGCAGAATTTACCGCGAATGCACTAATTTGCCTCTAAATTTCAGTCGCGCTATAGCGCTGATCTTCCCCGATTCGGATTTAGTGGAAGCCTATAGAGCAGGACTGCCCAACCCTGTTCCTGGAGAGCTACCGTCCTGTAGGTTTTTTGCTCCAACCCTAATCTAGCGCACCTGATTCTAATAATTAGCAGGTTGATAAAATGAATCAGGTTAGTAACACCTGGGGTTGGAGCGAAAACCTACAGGAGGGCAGCTCTCCAGGAACCGGGTTGGAGTTTCAAAGACCATCCACTACAGCAGGGCTGTCAAACTCATTCCATGGAGGGCCGAGTATCTGCTGCTTTTGGCTTTTTCCTTCCATTTAAGACTTAAGACAACCAGGTGTGGGGAGTTCCTTACTAATCAGTGACATTAATTAATCAATCAAGTACAAGTGAAGAACGGAAACCCGCAGACAGTCCGCCCTCCGTGGAATGAGTTTGACACGTGCACTACAGCGTTCACTCACTGGAGTTAACGTGAAGACGTTTTTATTGAAGGCACACCCTACATTCAGAATCACTAGCTTTTGCAGACAGGATTGACACAATCAAAACTTTTCTAACAGCAATATGTAGATATTAGATGCAATCAGAAATCATAGAGATAAATCAAGTGATCTCTTATCTACTACTTTGAAATATGTTATGAAATCAAAAAACTATAGGGAGAGACAGCTTGTTAGTACAGTAGACATTCCTTGATTTCATTATCATGTTGAACCCTTTCTCTCACAGCTTCCTTTGGCTTTAGTGATAATTCATCCATTTGGACAACTCAAGGTAAGATTAATTATACCCCAAAATCAAAATGAGATGAACCATCCCTTTAATCTCCATTGTCATCCAATCCACTTGGTAAGTGTCTAAAATAATATCCAATATGAAATATTTAAACCCATAAAACTATTATTTGCTATACTTTCAGCCAGATCAGTTATACTTTTGCTGTTCAGTTCAATAACTAAAATACTGTATTTCCTCATATACAGTAACATTCTACAACAGCAGTAGTAACACGTTAACCACACACCAGTTCTGAGACTATTCAATACCGCCCCCTACTGGGCATAGTCAAATAATGTCCGCAATAAAGCCACCTGCGCATAGTTCAATAATGTCATCAAATATCATCCGATTTGGTCATATTATAAAGCCATTTAGCAGACGCTTTTATCCAAAATTACTTAGTCATGCGTGCATACATTTTACGTAAGGGTGTGCCCGGGAATCGAACCCACTAACCTTGTGTTTGAGCTACAAAGGACCATGGTTTAAAATAACATTTGTGGGAATAAGACTTTTACTTTGTATTTACCAAAACATTGCAATAACCAAGAGACTTCCTGACTTTCTCACAAAATAAAAACCAAAGAATGGATCTATGACAACGTTGTTGATAGTCGTATCGGTCTCACTCACCAAGTCTCCATCTCCTCTGTAAAATATATCCCATGATACCCCACTAACCACACGGTGGGTCAAAGAAGCAGGTTCTTTATGAAACAGTTCACATGCAAGAATCATCAAAAGAAAAAAAACAGACCTGATGCCTTTTTTAAGTTCAACTAATGGGATTTTAAAAAATTGTAAATGCAAACATACAACCATACTGATGCTTCATGCTATGACTTATGCTGTTTACAGACAGATCTACAGTTCTGCTATGACCCATGCTGTTTACAGACAGATCTATAGTTCTGCTATGACCCATGCTGCTTACAGACAGATCTATAGTTCTGCTATGACCCATGCTGCTTACAGACAGGTCTATAGTTCTACAGTGACTGTTTTCTACCAAACAATTCCAACATTTTGTATAGCTAAGTAACCCCGTAGCATGGGGTGTGTGGTCTTTAGCTTGGTGTCACTCTGCATGACATGGCTAATAGTACCCTCACTGCTATATGGGGTTAGCTGAGGTGGAGTGGGTGAGGGGGCCATCCTGTACTGTAGTTAGCTGGCTGAGGTTGGAGTGGGTGAGGGGGGCATCCTGTAGTTGGTGAGGGGGCCATCCTGTACTGTAGTTGGCTGGCTGAGGTTGGAGTGGGTGAGGGGGGCATCCTGTAGTTGGTGAGGTGGGATGCTGTACTGTAGTTAGGGCATGAGTTGGAGTGGGTGAGGGGGGCATCCTGTAGTGGTGAGGGGGCCATCCTGTATGTAGGGTGGCTAGGTTGGAGTGGGTGAGGGGGCCATCCTGTACTGTAGTTGGCTGGCTGAGGTTGGAGTGGGTGAGGGGGGCATCCTGTAGTTGTGAGGTGAGGGGGCATCCTATCTGTGGCTGGCTGAGGTGGAGTGGGTGAGGGGGGCATCCTGTAGTTAGCTGAGGTGGAGTGGGTGAGGGGGGCATCCTGTACTATAGTTGGCTGAGGTTGGAGTGGGTGAGGGGGCATCCTGTGGAGGTGGCTGAGTGGTGGAGTGGGTGAGGGGGCCATCCTGTAGTTGTGAGTGGAGTGGGTGAGGGGGCATCTGCTTAGTTGGTGGTGGAGTGGGTGAGGGGGGCATCCTTAGTTTGTGGGTGGGGGGGTGGGGCATCTACATATGGTGAGGTTGGGTGTAGGGTGAGGGGCCATCCTGTAGTGGGTGAGGGGGGCACTGTATGTGGGTGAGGGGCCTCCTTAGTTGGGAGTGGGTGAGGGGCATCGTATGTGAGTGGGTGAGGGGGCCATCCTGTAGTTGGTGTGGGGCCCTGTAGTGGGTGAGGGGGCCATCCTGTAGTGTGGTGAGGGGGCCATCCTGTAGTTGGTGGAGTGGGTGAGGGGGCCATCCTGTAGTGGTGGAGGGGGTGAGGGGGCCATCCTGTAGTTGGTGAGTGGGTGAGGGGGCCATCCAGTGGTGGAGTGGGTGAGGGGGCCATCCTGTACTGTAGTTGGCTGGAGTAACTGATTCACACTATAGGGCCAAACAGAACTGGTTTGTTTTCACCATAGTAGCCAGAACAGTGCTGGAAAGGACAATGGGGTCAGTACAGTACAGGTCAGCCCTATAGTTCAGATCAGGCAGAGGACACTAAGGCTAGGAGCTCTTCATGGTACCAGGGAAGAGGCACTCGGCTGTTCTGTCTCCTGGGATAAGACTGGTCCTCTTCAACCACACATGGTCATATACAGCCACTAAATAAATAAATAAAGAGGGAGAGCAGAGAAGAGAGAAGAGAGACAGAGAGAAGAGAGAAGAGAGACAGAGAAGAGAGAGAGAGAGAGAGACAGAGAGAGAGAGAGACACCAGACAGAGGAGACACCAGAGAGAGAGAGAGACACCAGACAGAGGAGACACCAGAGAGAGAGAGAGAGAGAGATAGATTAGACCACACACAGATCCCAGGCTGCTACATTGCATGGTAGTTTGTTGAAATGTAGAGAATGCTACCCAGGACCCACCTCAGTGATGTTCATCTCAACCACTCCTTCTTCCTCTTTGTCCAGCTGCTGGAAAGATCCTATAAGGATAGAGTGAGTGGACAAAACATTATGAACACCTGCTCTTTCCATGACAGACTGACCAGGTGAATCCAGGTGAAAGCTATGATCCCTTATTGATGTCACTTGTTAAATCCACTTCAAATCAGTGTAGATTAAGGGGAGGAGACAGGGGGGGGGGGTGCAACTCAATATTAGGGAGGTGTTCCTCATGGTTTGTACACTCAGTGTATATAAACACAATGTGGAAAGTCTTGTGTAACCTTTGATAGGATATGACCTGTTCTCTGCTTCAAAGGGCATTACTGTTAATCATTGAAATACTAGACTAATGACTAGAACAAATATTTCCATTCAAGTCAACGTTCTGTGACGGGTGGGCCGACGGCCATATTGTGTACAGTAATTCTAGTTTGATGGCATTAATCATACATTCATCATGACTAATATAATATACAGTATAACAGTACTAACATGAACTGACAGTACTTACTAAACATGGCTTCCAGTTTGACCAGACAGCAGACGAAGTTGTCGAAGTCTATGGCCTCGTTCTCAGCATAGCGAGCCACTAGGACCTGATTCAGTCTGTTGTTCAGTTTAAAACCTATGAGGACAGAGTCAGTAGTGTGTGTGTGTGTGTGTGTGTGTGTGTGTGTGTGTGTGTGTGTGTGTGTGTGTAACTATACCTGCAGACTCCACAGCAAGTCGCATCTCATAGGAGCTCATGGACCCGGACTTGTCCATGTCATATTCTCTATAGATGACCTACCGATAAACACACAAATATCATATTCTCTACAGATGACCCTAACCCGCATCTAAACACCTAACACAGATATCATATTCTCTATAGATGACCTACCGATAAACACACAGATATCATATTCTCTATAGATGACCTACCGATAAACACACAGATATCATATTCTCTATAGATGACCTACCGATAAACACACAGATATCATATTCTCTATAGATGACCTACCGATAAACACACAGATATCATATTCTCTATAGATGACCTACCGATAAACACACAGATATCATATTCTCTGTAGATGACCTACCGATAAACACACAGATATCATATTCTCAATAGCGCAGCCGACATGCACAGCGCTTACCATGAAAATGACTTTAAAATACGCATTGTCAGCTTTACAGTGCTTTATAGTGCTTGGCGCTATAGCGCCTTGGATTGAATCCCACCATAATAATTTGAAAGTGGAAATACATTTCCTTTACATGATTCTATACATACTGTATATTTACAGTACCTGTCAAAAGTTTGGAGACACCTACTCTTTCAATGGTTTTTCTTTATTTTTTACTATTTTCTACATTGTAGAATAATAGTGAAGCCATCAAAACTATTAAATAACACATATGGAATCATGTAGTAATCCAAAAAAGTGTTAAACAAATCAAAATATATTTTATATTTGAGATTCTTCAAATAGCCACCCTTTTGCCTTGATGACAGCTTTGCACACTCTTGGTATTCTCTCAACCAGCTTCATGAGGAATGCTTTTCCAACAGTCTTGAAGGAGTTCCCACATATGCTGAGCACTCGTTGGCTGCATTTCCTTCACTTTGCGGTCCAACTCCTCCCAAACCATCTCAATTGGGTTGAGGTCGGGTGATTGTGGAGGCCAGGTCATCTGATGCAGCACTCCATCACTCTCCTTGGTCAAATAGCCCTTATACAGCCTGGAGGTGTGCTTTGGGTCATTGTCCTGTTGAAAAACAAATGATAGTCCCACTAAGCCCAAACCAGATGGGATGGCGTATCGCTGCAGAATGCTGTGGTAGCCATGCTTGTTAAGTGTGCCTTGAATTCTAAATAAATCACCAACAGTGTCACCAGCAAAGCACCCCCACACCATCACACCACCTCCTCCATGCTTTACGGTGAGAACCACACATGCAGAGATCATCCGTTCACCTACTCTGCATCTCACAAAGACACGGCGGTTGGAACCAAAAATCTCAAACTTGGACTCATCAGACCAAAGAACAGATTTCCACCGGTCTAATGTCCATTGCTCATGTTTCTTGGCCCAAGCAAGTCTCTTCTTATTGGTTTCCTTAAGTAGTGGTTTCTTTGCAGCAATTCGACCATGAAGGCCTGATTCACGCAGTCTCCTCTGAACAGTTGATGTTGAGATGTGTCTGTTACTTGAACTCTGTGAAGCATTTATTTGGCCGCAATCTGAGGTGCAGTTAACTCTAATAAACGTATCCTCTGCAGCAGAGGTAACTCTGGGTCTTCCTTTCCTGTGGCGGTCCTCATGAGAGCCAGTTTCATCATAGCGCTTGATGGTTTTTGTGACTGCACTTGAAGAAAATGTAAAAGTTCTTGAAATGTTCTGGATTTACTGGTACTGTATGTTCTGTTGTTCCTGTTATTTCAGTTGTTCAAAAGATGTAGATGAATGCAGAGTAATATTCCTTTAATCAGTATTGTAGTCCTTCGAGCCAAATACAAACCAGGGCCCTAAGGAATTACAGTCCCCTTAGCTCTCACCAACAGCAGTACATGGTTTTAGACATAATCTCATTCTAGTTATGTGGTCGATAGATGAACCAGACCTTACCAGCCACTTCCTGATCTTATTCCAGAGGAGCTGGAACTCTATCAGGCCTAAACGGGCACTGCCATCTTTCTGAGTGATCTCTGGGTCAAAGAATGTAGAGGACTAAAGAGAAAGCCCTCAATAACTGACTGACTGTCTTACTGAAACACTCAATAACTGACTGACTGTCTTACTGAAACACTCACTAACTGACTGACTGTCTTACTGAAACACTCAATAACTGACTGACTGTCTTACTGAAACCTCCCTCAATAGCTGACTACTGTCTTACTGAAACACTCAATAACTGACGACCTGTCTTACTGAAACACTCAATAACTGACTGACTGTCCTTACTGAAATACTCAATAACTGACTGACTGCTTACTGAAAACACTCAATAACTGACTGACTGTCTTACTGAAACACTAACTGACTGACTGTCTTACTGAAACACTAACTGACTGACTGTCTTACTGAAACCTCAATAGCTGACTGGACTGTCTTACTGAAACACTCAGTAACTGACTGACTGTCTTACTGAAACCTCAATAACTCTGACTGACTGTCTTACTGAAACACTCAATGACTGACCTGACTGTCTTAACTGAAAACACTCAATAACTGAACTGACTGTCTTACTGAAACACTCCAATTAACTGACTGACTGTCTTACTGAAACACCTAACTAACTGACTGACTGTCTTACTGAACACACTAACTGACTGACTGTCTTACTGAAACACTCAATAGCTGACTGACTGTCTTACTGAAACACTCCCTCAATAGCTGACTGACTGTCTTACTGAAAACACTCCCTCAATAGCTGACTGACTGTCTTACTGAAACACTCCCTCAATAGCTGACTGACTGTCTTACTGAAACACTCAATAGCTGACTGACTGTCTTACTGAAACACTCAATAACTGACTGACTGTCTTACTGAAAACACTCCCTCAATAGCTGACTGACTGTCTTACTGAAACACTCCCTCAATAGCTGACTGACTGTCTTACTGAAACACTCAATAACTGACTGACTGTCTTACTGAAACACTCAATAACTGACTGACTGTCTTACTGAAACACTCAATAACTGACTGACTGTCTTACTGAAACACTCAATAACTGACTGACTGTCTTACTGAAACACTCAATAACTGACTGACTGTCTTACTGAAACACTAACTGACTGACTGTCTTACTGAAACACTCAATAGCTGACTGACTGTCTTACTGAAACACTCCCTCAATAGCTGACTGACTGTCTTACTGAAACACTCCCTCAATAGCTGACTGACTGTCTTACTGAAACACTCCCTCAATAGCTGACTGACTGTCTTACTGAAACACTCCCTCAATAGCTGACTGACTGTCTTACTGAAACAATCCCTCAATAACTGACTGACTGTCTTACTGAAACACTCAATAGCTGACTGACTGTCTTACTGAAACACTCAATAACTGACTGACTGTCTTACTGAAACACGCAATAGCTGACTGACTGTCTTACTGAAACACTCAGTAACTGACTGACTGTCTTACTGAAACACGCAATAGCTGACTGACTGTCTTACTGAAACACTCAATAGCTGACTGACTGTCTTACTGAAACACTCCCTCAATAACTGACTGACTGTCTTACTGAAACACTCAATAGCTGACTGACTGTCTTACTGAAACACTCAATAACTGACTGACTGTCTTACTGAAACACTCAATAGCTGACTGACTGTCTTACTGAAACACTCAATAGCTGACTGACTGTCTTACTGAAACACTCAATAGCTGACTGACTGTCTTACTGAAACACTCAATAGCTGACTGACTGTCTTACTGAAACACTCAATAGCTGACTGACTGTCTTACTGAAACACAATAACTGACTGACTGTCTTACTGAAACACTCAATAGCTGACTGACTGTCTTACTGAAACACTCCCTCAATAACTGACTGACTGTCTTACTGAAACACTCAATAACTGACTGACTGTCTTACTGAAACACTAACTGACTGACTGTCTTACTGAAACACTCAATAGCTGACTGACTGTCTTACTGAAACACTCAATAGCTGACTGACTGTCTTACTGAAACACTCAATAGCTGACTGACTGTCTTACTGAAACACTCAATAGCTGACTGACTGTCTTACTGAAACACAATAACTGACTGACTGTCTTACTGAAACACTCAATAACTGACTGACTGTCTTACTGAAACACTCCCTCAATAACTGACTGACTGTCTTACTGAAACACTCCCTCAATAACTGACTGACTGTCTTACTGAAACACTCAATAGCTGACTGACTGTCTTACTGAAACACTCAATAGCTGACTGACAGTCCTACTGAAACACTCAATAGCTGACTGACTGTCTTACTGAAACACAATAACTGACTGACTGTCTTACTGAAACACTCAATAACTGACTGACTGTCTTACTGAAACACTCAATAACTGACTGACTGTCTTACTGAAACACTCAGTAACTGACTGACTGTCTTACTGAAACACTCAATAACTGACTGACTGTCTTACTGAAACACTCAATAGCTGACTGACTGTCTTACTGAAACACTCAATAGCTGACTGACTGTCTTACTGAAACACTCAATAACTGACTGACTGTCTTACTGAAACACTCAATAACTGACTGACTGTCTTACTGAAACACTCAATAGCTGACTGACTGTCTTACTGAAACACAATAACTGACTGACTGTCTTACTGAAACACTCAATAACTGACTGACTGTCTTACTGAAACACTCCCTCAATAACTGACTGACTGTCTTACTGAAACACTCAATAACTGACTGACTGTCTTACTGAAACACTAACTGACTGACTGTCTTACTGAAACACTCAATAGCTGACTGACTGTCTTACTGAAACACTCAATAGCTGACTGACTGTCTTACTGAAACACTCAATAGCTGACTGACTGTCTTACTGAAACACTCAATAGCTGACTGACTGTCTTACTGAAACACTCAATAACTGACTGACTGTCTTACTGAAACACTCAATAGCTGACTGACTGTCTTACTGAAACACTCAATAGCTGACTGACTGTCTTACTGAAACACTCAATAGCTGACTGACTGTCTTACTGAAACACAATAACTGACTGACTGTCTTACTGAAACACTCAATAACTGACTGACTGTCTTACTGAAACACTCAATAACTGACTGACTGTCTTACTGAAACACTCAATAGCTGACTGACTGTCTTACTGAAACACTCAATAACTGACTGACTGTCTTACTGAAACACTCAATAGCTGACTGACTGTCTTACTGAAACACTCAATAGCTGACTGACTGTCTAACTGAAACACTCAATAGCTGACTGACTGTCTTACTGAAACACAATAACTGACTGACTGTCTTACTGAAACACTCCCTCAATAACTGACTGACTGTCTTACTGAAACACTCCCTCAATAACTGACTGACTGTCTTACTGAAACACTCAATAGCTGACTGACTGTCTTACTGAAACACTCAATAACTGACTGACTGTCTTACTGAAACACTCAATAACTGACTGACTGTCTTACTGAAACACTCAATAACTGACTGACTGTCTTACTGAAACACTCAATAACTGACTGACTGTCTTACTGAAACACTCAGTAACTGACTGACTGTCTTACTGAAACACTCAATAGCTGACTGACTGTCTTACTGAAACACTCAATAGCTGACTGACTGTCTTACTGAAACACTAACTGACTGACTGTCTTACTGAAACACTCAATAACTGACTGACTGTCTTACTGAAACACTCAATAACTGACTGACTGTCTTACTGAAACACTCAATAGCTGACTGACTGTCTTACTGAAACACTCAATAACTGACTGACTGTCTTACTGAAACACTCAATAACTGACTGACTGTCTTACTGAAACACAATAACTGACTGACTGTCTTACTGAAACACTCAATAGCTGACTGACTGTCTTACTGAAACACTCAATAGCTGACTGACTGTCTTACTGAAACACTCAATAGCTGACTGACTGTCTTACTGAAACACTCAATAGCTGACTGACTGTCTTACTGAAACACTGATCAGTCTCCACCATAGAAAGAGAATGACTAGAACCCTTCCCCAACTGACATGAATTGGAATGTCCATTCTAGTCATTCTCTGTCTATGGTGGAGACCCTGATCAACACAGACAGACAGTAGAGGAGGATACATCCATGAGGTTGACCATGGTCCTACAGGACTCCATACTGAAACCGTCTGTCTTCAGGTCTTTGTCTGAAAGCACACAACCACCAAACAGTCAAACTGATGATCTGAGTCTCCCTACAGCAGAACCCACAAGGATACACATCCTGTCCTCCTGAGAAGGGGAGGGCTTACACCAATGGTGGGCTGTCCTGCGGGTTGGGGTCAATAGTGTATGAGGACATTGTGGGTTCAAACCAAAGGAAACCTCTGTACTCACGTCTAGTCACCACCCTGTTCAGGATGGTCCTGAGCTCACGGACAGATATCTCCATGTCCTATAGTCACAGAGGGAACATTGAGAAAACCATGGCTTTAGACATAGATAGGTTTAGAAAAAATCTTAAGAGGTTCAAGTATATTTGTTAGTTCAACTACCTATAGCGTAGCTGATATCTACGGTGGCCATCTCTAACTTTATCTAATAGCTGACAGACAAATAATGGAAACCTAACCTCTCCTGCCAGCTGAGCAAACATGGATTTGAAAGAGTCGTCGATGTCATCTTCAGTGATGGGGCCCTATAAGGGGACAGGTGGAAGCTGAGGCTGTGATGTCATTTCAACCATTTCATCAGAAGTGTACAATGGAAGAATGTGTATTCAATAACATGATAATGAAGTCTTTACATCAGGGATCATCAACTAGAACGAGTATTCAATAACATGATAATGAAGTCTTTACATCAGGGATCATCAACTAGAACGAGTATTCAATAACATGATAATGAAGTCTTTACATCAGGGATCATCAACTAGAACGAGTATTCAATAACATGATAATGAAGTCTTTACATCAGGGATCATCAACTAGAACGAGTATTCAATAACATGATAATGAAGTCTTTACATCAGGGATCATCAACTAGAACGAGTATTCAATAACATGATAATGAAGTCTTTACATGGCTGTGTGCTCAATTTTATACACCTGTCAGCAACGGGTATGACTGAAATAGCCGAATCCACTAATTTGAAGGGGAGTCCACATACTTTTGTATATATAGTGTGTGTATGTATATATATATATGTTTTACTAAAAACTTTGAGGGGCCAAAAGAAAGTGAGTGACTGTATGTGTTGAGAAAACACACCTCATCTTCCAGGTCTGCAGATATCATATCATCTAGCTCTCTGGAATGAGACAACAGACACAATGAAAATCAACACACACAGACCACAAACACACACACACACACACACACACACACACACACACACACACACACTTACTCTGTCTCGGACTGTTTCTCAGTGAAGACTCGGAGGACGAAGTCGGCCTCTTGGCCAGACTCGAAGGTGGAGGGGACGATGAGGTATTCTCCTGGAGGCAGACGGAGACGGTTGCTGACCTCTCTCAGGTTGATAAAGGTCTCAGAGCGAGCGCAGGATGAGTGGGTCAGGAAGAAGTCTTTCTTTAGGTGCACGTTCTGACAGCCCCTGTACTGCAGAGGATCAAGGTAGGAAACCGAGACAGATGTGGGGTTTGAAGCTCAACTAGATGGGGTTAAGTGTGTATCATTTAAATTAACAAATAATTAAGCCATACCCTAGGAAGTGATCATTTGCACAAATGCGCCAAGGCATGAAGCTGCATGAAGCAAAATCCTGAAATATATAGTTGTGGTGAAACCTTCCATACCTCTTCTGGAATCTGCACAAAGAAACGAGAAACAAAATGAAGGAAACATAAAAAATGTACAGTACCGGTCAAAAGATTGCACACACCTCCTCATTCCAGGGTTTTTCTTTATTTTGACTATTTTTTTACATTGTAGAATAATAGTGAAGACATCAAAACCATGAAATAACACATATGGAATCATGTAGTAACCAAAAAAGTGTTAACCAAATCAAAATCCATTTTATATTTAAGATTCTTCAAACAGCCACCCTTTGCCTTGATGACAGCTTTGCATACTCTTGGCATTCTCTCAACCACCTTCATGAGGTAGTCACCTGGAATGCATTTCAATTAACAGGTGTGCCTTCTTAAAAGTTAATTTGTGGAATTTCTTTCCTTCTTAATGCGTTTGAGCCATTCAGTTGTGTTGTGACAAGGTAGGGGGGGTATACAGAAGATTGCCCTATTTGGTAAAAGACCAAGTCCATATTATGGCAAGAACAGCTCAAATAAGCAAAGAGAAACGACAGTCCATCATCACTTTAAGACATGAAGGTCAGTCAAAATGGAACATTTCAAGAACTTTGAAAGTATCCTCAAGTGCAGTCGCAAAAACCATCAAGATCTATGATGAAACTGGCTCTCATGAGGACCGCCACAGGAAAGGAAGACCCAGAGTTACCTCTGCTGCAGATGATTTCATTAGTCACCAGCCTCAGAAATTGCAGCCCAAATAAATGATTCAGAGTTCAAGTCACAGACCCATCTGGGCCAAGAAACACAAGCAATGGACATTAGACTGGTGGAAAATGTGTCCTTTGGTCTGGAGTGCAAATTGGAGATTTTGGGATCCAACCGCTGTGTCTTTGTGAGACGCAGAGTAGGTGAACGGATGATCTCTGCATGTGTAGTTCCCACCGTAAAGCATAGAGGAGGAGGTGTTATGGTGTGGGGGTGCTTTGCTGGTGACACTGTCTGTGATTTATTTAGAATTCAAGGCACACTTAACCAGCATGGCTACCACAGCATTCTACATCGATACGCCATCCCATCTGGTTTGGGCTTAGTGGGACTATCATTTGTTTTTCAACAGGACAATGACCCAAAACACACCTCCAGGCTGTGTAAGGGCTATTTGACCAAGAAGGAGAGTGATGGAGTGCTGCATCAGATGACCTGGCCTCCACAATCCCCCCGGCCTCAACCCAATTGAGATGGTTTGGGATGAGTCGGACGGCAGAGTGAAGGAAAAGCAGCCAACAAGTGCTCAGCATATGTGGGAACTCCTTCAAGACTTTTGGAAAAGCATTCCTCATGAAGCTGGTTGAGAGAATGCCAAGAGTGTGCAAAGCTGTCATCAAGGCAAAAGGGTGGCTATTTGAAGAATCTCAAATATAAAATATATTTTGATTTGTTTAACACTTTTTTTGTTACTACATGATTCCATATGTGTTATTTCATAGTTTTGATGTCTTCACTATTATTCTACAATGTAGAAAAAAATAAAAAATAAAAAAATAAAACTTTTGACCGGTACTGCATGTCCGTGAGCAGTTTATTTAACCAGACAAGTCTGATGGCAGATAGATTGTTAATGTGTAGCATCCTGCTTGTCTCTCACCTCGTAGATGGCGAACCCGATGGTGTGCATGTCCTGTCCCTGGCCCCGGTACCTCCTCCTATCCTTCTGCATCAGAGCCACCAGGAAGCTGCAGGCCACCTCATCATCCTCAGGGTCATCATCTTCCTCCAGCAGGGTGATCTTATACTGGGGGTTGATCCAGAACGTGTCTAGAGGAACACAGGGATAGAACAGAGTTATACTGGGGGTTGATCCAGAACGTGTCTAGAGGAACACGGGGATAGAACAGAGTTATACTGGGGGTTGATCCAGAACGTGTCTAGAGGAACACGGGGATAGAACAGAGTTATACTGGGGGTTGATCCAGAACGTGTCTAGAGGAACACAGGGATAGAACAGAGTTATACTGGGGGTTGATCCAGAACGTGTCTAGAGTAACACAGGGATAGAACAGAGTTATACTGGGGGTTGATCCAGAACGTGGTGTCTAGAGTAACACAGGGATAGAACAGAGTTATACTGGGGGTTGATCCAGAACGTGTCTAGAGTAACACAGGGATAGAACAGAGTTATACTGGGGGTTGATCCAGAACGTGTCTAGAGGAACACAGGGATAGAACAGAGTTATACTGGGGGTTGATCCAGAACGTGTCTAGAGTAACACAGGGATAGAACAGAGTTATACTGGGGGTTGATCCAGAACGTGGTGTCTAGAGTAACACGGGGATAGAACAGAGTTATACTGGGGGTTGATCCAGAACGTGTCTAGAGTAACACAGGGATAGAACAGAGTTATACTGGGGGTTGATCCAGAACGTGTCTAGAGGAACACAGGGATAGAACAGAGTTATACTGGGGGTTGATCCAGAACGTGGTGTCTAGAGTAACACAGGGATAGAACAGAGTTATACTGGGGGTTGATCCAGAACGTGTCTAGAGGAACACAGGGATAGAACAGAGTTATACTGGGGGTTGATCCAGAACGTGTCTAGAGGAACACAGGGATAGAACAGAGTTATACTGGGGGTTGATCCAGAACGTGTCTAGAGTAACACAGGGATAGAACAGAGTTATACTGGGGGTTGATCCAGAACGTGTCTAGAGGAACACAGGGATAGAACAGAGTTATACTGGGGGTTGATCCAGAACGTGTCTAGAGTAACACAGGGATAGAACAGAGTTATACTGGGGGTTGATCCAGAACGTGTCTAGAGGAACACAGGGATAGAACAGAGTTATACTGGGGGTTGATCCAGAACGTGTCTAGAGGAACACGGGGATAGAACAGAGTTATACTGGGGGTTGATGCTGCTGTGGTCCAGTTCTGTTCCGTTTCATTATGCATCTATAAGTGTTTAGTAAACATCATATCTGAACTGTTCTTCATGCTCTGGTATGGTATCATGTTGACTCTGACTCACTGTAAATGTGACTTAGTTACAGTATCTGAGGCATCGGACGCTAGTTCCTACTTCACAGTAGGCCGCTTGAAAAGAAAAAATACGTTTTTTTTGTTTATTGCAGAAATGCCTTCTTGAACATGTGAACTTTCATGTGCCTTAACTGGTCTGGGATCTGTTAATATGAATACACATGTTAACTGATTAACCTAGTTTAACCAAGAAGAAAGTACTGAGCTATACATGGAGAAAGACAGGAAGCTTTCAGGCTAGTCATGATTGGCTGAGATAATGGAGTGGTTGGACATGCCGAGAGATGAGTCCTAATTGGTCTGTCATGTCACAGGCTTCTGTCTATAAAAGAATGGGCGCTTCCTTGGTCAGTATATAGATCATCTTTGCTACCGTGGATTTTTGGAAAGCTATGGACAACTGCCAAAGTGTTGTTACAGCTCTGAAAAATATTGCTGCCCTGAATTTAGCTGGGTTTAAAAGTAGAGAGACAACTTTCTGGAGGACAATACCATGCTGACTCCCATGTGTTTAGATGTGTGGGTGGGGCTAAGGCTTCAGAGATGGGTGGGGCTAAGGTTTAAGAGATGGGTGGGGCTAAGGTTTAAGAGATGGGTGGAGCTAAGGCTTAAGAGATGGGTGGGGCTAAGGCTTAAGAGATGGGTGGGGCTAAGGCTTAAGAGATGGGTGGGGCTAAGGCTTCAGAGATGGGTGGGGCTAAGGTTTAAGAGATGGGTGGGGCTAAGGCTTAAGAGATGGGTGGGGCTAAGGCTTAAGAGATGGGTGGGGCTAAGGCTTAAGAGATGGGTGGGGCTAAGGCTTAAGAGATGGGTGGGGCTAAGGCTTAAGAGATGGGTGGGGCTAAGGCTTCAGAGATGGGTGGGGCTAAGGCTTAAGAGGGTGTGAACGATGCTGAATGGGTTTAAACAAAGAGCTCTCTATGAAGTGTGAAAATCTCCACAAAATCTTTCAAAGGGCATTTTCTTCTACTGAATGTATCAACTTTTAAAGCAGCATGACTTCCCCATGTTTCCTCCAACTACAGTGTATGATACACCATTTAGAAGCTCTGAGTCTGTACTTTTGTAAGAATAAGCTAATCACATTTGACTTAGGCCTCAATAGAGACATCTAGACACAAATATTCTGTGTTCTGGTACGTGATCTGATTCTGACTCACTGGGGTGGTTCCTTCCTGCATCCTCCGGCTGCCCCTGTATTCTCTGATTCAAAGGGGTTGGGTTAAATGCAGAAAACACATTTCAGTTGAACGCGTTCAGTTGTACAACTGACTAACTATCCCCCTTTCCTTCCCCTTTATTCTAATGTAAATCTCCTGTAAATGTTCTAACGAGTTCTGGTATGTTCTATGTGTTCTGGTATGTTCTACGTGTTCTGGTATGTTCTACGTGTTCTGGTATGTTCTACGTGTTCTGGTATGTTCTACGTGTTCTGGTATGTAAAATATGTACTAGTCAACTGTGTGTGACTCACTGGGGTGGTTACGGCAGCCCCCGGCGGTACTCCCCCGTCTCCACATGCCGTGGAACTTGACGGTGTTCCAGTGGCTGAGGCCGTCCTCACTCAGAGCGTCGGCTGTCAGGTTACAGATCTCCAGACGGGAAAACTGCCTCAGGAACTCCTGGAATGACATCCTAGAGGGAATATAACATAGATTGAGATTTCCATGCTTATATTTATATTTATTTTGTTAATATTTCATATTTTAGTCATATAGCAGATGCTCTTATCCAGAGCAACTTACAGGAGGAACTAGGGTTAAATGCCTTGCTCAAGGGCACATGGGCATACTTTTCATTTAGTCAGCTGGGGGATTCGAACCAGCGACCTTTCGGTTACTGCCCCAACGCCCTTAACCACTTGCCTACCTGCCGCCTTAGTCGGTAAAGCATGGCACTTGCAACGTCAAAGGTCATGGGTCCGATTCCTGCTAAGGCAACCCATACATAACATGACTGTAAGTCGCTTTGGATAAAAGCGTCTGCTAAATGGCATATATTCCTTTTATATTATTTTATATTTTGATTGAGCTTGTATAACTTTATGATGTTAATACCCTACTACGTCGTCTTGTTTGGGGGCTTGCCCACCTAAGACCCTGTCTCACCACTTCTGACACAGAAAAGCTTATCCATGCATTCGTTTTCTCCAGAATTGATGGGAATGCAGTACTTAGCCCTGCCTGCAAACTCAATTAATAAATTACAGCTCATTCAAAACAGTGATGCAAGGATTCTGACACAAACCAAAAAGCCTGCCCACATCACCCTAATTCTTGCTGATGTCCATTGGCTACCTGTCCCTCAAAAGAACTGACTTTAAAATTCTCCTCCTGGTCTACAAAGCCCTAAATGGGATCGGACCTGCTTTCCTGTCAGATCTACTCTCCCACTATGAACCTCCATGCACCCTACGGTCAAGCCACGCCAAACTGCTTCATGCACCCAGGACCCGGCCGAACAACGGGGGACCGAGCCTTTCCCTCCCCGAGCACGCGGGACCGAGCCTTTCCCTCCCCGAACAACGGGGGACTGAGCCTTTCCCTCCCCGAACAACGGGGGACCGAGCCTTTCCCTCCCCGAGCACGGGGGACCGAGCCTTTCCCCGCCCGAGCACCACGCCTATGGAACTCCCCTCCTGATCATTTCAGGGCTGTTCAGACTGTTGGGGCTTTTAAAGCAGGCCTTAAGACTCACCTCTATCGGCTGGCCTACCCTTCTTCCTAGACTTTGATTTTTGCTTTTATGACATGGTTATATATATATATATACAGTGTGGAGAACAAGTATTTGATACACTGCCGATTTTGCAGGTTTTCCTACTTACAAAGCATGTAGAGGTCTGTAATTTTTATCATAGGTACACTTCAACTGTGAGAGGTGGAATCTAACACAAAAATCCAGAAAATCACATTGTATGATTTTTAAGTAATTAATTTGCATTTTATTGCATGACGTAAGTATTTGATACATCAGAAAAGCAGAACATAATATTTGGTACAGAAACCTTTGTTTGCAATTACAGAGATCATACGTTTCCTGTAGGTCTTGACCAGGTTTGCACACACTGCAGCAGGGATTTTGGCCCACTCCTCCATACAGACCTTCCCCAGATCCTTCAGGTTTCGGGGCTGTCGCTGGGCAATACGGACTTTCAGCTCCCTCCAAAGATTTTCTATTGGGTTCAGGTCTGGAGACTGGCTAGGCCACTCCAGAACCTTGAGATGCTTCTTACGGAGCCACTCCTTAGTTGCCCTGGCTGTGTGTTTCGTGTCGTTGTCATGCTGGAAGACCCAGCCACGACCCATCTTCAATGCTCTTACTGAGGGAAGGAGGTTGTTGGCCAAGATCTCGCGATACATGGCCCCATTCATCCTCCCCACAATATGGTGCAGTTGTCCTGTCCCCTTTGCAGAAAAGCATCCCCAAAGAATGATGTTTCCACCTCCATGCTTCACGGTTGGGATGGTGTTCTTGGGGTTGTACTCATCCTTCTTCTTCCTCCAAACATGGCGAGTGGAGTTTAGACCAAAAAGCTCTATTTTTGTCTCATCAGACCACATGACCTTCTCCCATTCCTCCTCTGGATCATCCAGATGGTCATTGGCAAACTTCAGACGGGCCTGGACATGCGCTGGCTTGAGCAGGGGGACCTTGCGTGCGCTGCAGGATTTTAATCCATGACGGCGTAGTGTATTACTAATGGTTTTCTTTGAGACTGTGGTCCCAGCTCTCTTCAGGTCATTGACCAGGTCCTGCCGTGTAGTTCTGGGCTGATCCCTCACCTTCCTCATGATCATTGATGCCCCACGAGGTGAGATCTTGCATGGAGCCCCAGACCGAGGGTGATTGACCATCATCTTGAACTTCTTCCATGTTCTAATAATTGCGCCAACAGTTGTTGCCTTCTCACCAAGCTGCTTGCCTATTGTCCTGTAGCCCATCCCAGCCTTGTGCAGGTCTACAATTTTATCCCTGATGTCCTTACACAGCTCTCTGGTCTTGGCCATTGTGGAGAGGTTGGAGTCTATTTGATTGAGTGTGTGGACAGGTGTCTTTTATACAGGTTACGAGTTCAAACAGGTGCAGTTAATACAGGTAATGAGTGGAGAACAGGAGGGCTTCTTAAAGTAAAACTAACAGGTCTGTGAGAGCCAGAATTCTTACTGGTTGGTAGGTGATCAAATACGTATGTCATGCAATAAAATGCAAATTAATTACTTAAAAATCATACAATGTGATTTTCTGGATTTTTGTTTTCGACTCCGTCTCTCACAGTTGAAGTGTACCTATGATAAAAAATTACAGACCTCTACATGCTTTGTAAGTAGGAAAATATGCAAAATCGGCAGTGTATCAAATACTTGTTCTCCCCACTATATATATATATATATATATATATATGCTTTGTAAAAAAAAAAAACGATTTTTCTATTTTAACTTTTATTTGATGCACTTTGAAATTATTATTGTATAATGAAAAGCGCTTTACATATGTAATAAATAATAATAATAATAATAATAATAATAATTATTATTATTAGCTGTTTGCCTAATTCTGATGAAGGCTGATGGAGAAACATATGATTTAGAGAGGAAAGATTAAAATATCAGGTTGAACTGTGACTCAGCACTATTAGTAGCTCATGGAATCGCAATAAGCCCAGTCTTACCAGAACTCTCCGTCCTCCATCTGTAGATGCAGGTCCTCTCTCTCAGTTGGGTCCAACTCATCCCACTCTGGAGAACTGGACACAGACAGGGACACAAGAACAGACTACTGCTGAGAAACTGAGACAACCTAGGGGGTTGCGCAAGGGGGTGGAAACTAAGCTAATGGGTCATCCATTATGTGTTATGCAAGGTTCAGGTTTGTGGTGAAAATCTGGGGTTAGTGGTAGTTGTGTCGGTTGTAATAACATTTTGCTTGTGGAAGTGGTGGTTCTGTTATAGCAGTGTTAATGTGAGGGTTAGAGGTAGAGGAGACGCACTTGTCGCTCCAGGCCCCAGTCCACTCCACCTGTCCCCAGGGGTTCCTCACCCTGATCAGCCTCTCCACCTGACCCTGGTAGTCCACCTGGAACAGGACAGGGGTAGTCAGATATCACTAACACTCACAGTCTACATACTAACAACACACTAGAAACACAGTCTACATACTAACAACACACTAGAGACAGTCTACATAAAAACAACACACTATAAAAACAGTATACATACTAACAACACACTAGAGACACAGTCTACATACTAACAACACACTAGAGACAGTCTACATACTAACAACACACTAGAGACAGTCTACATACTAACAACACACTAGAGACACAGTCTACATACTAACAACACACTAGAGACACAGTCTACATACTAACAACACACTAGAGACACAGTCTACATACTGACAACACACTAGAGACACAGTCTACATACTAACAACACACTAGAGACAGTCTACATACTAACAACACACTAGAGACAGTCTACATACTAACAACACACTAGAGACACAGTCTACATACTAACACACACTAGAAACACAGTCTACATACTAACAACACACTAGAGACACAGTCTACATACTAACAACACACTAGAGACAGTCTACATACTAACAACACACTAGAGACACAGTCTACATACTAACAACACACTAGAAACACAGTCTACATACTAACAACACACTAGAGACACAGTCTACATACTGACAACACACTAGAGACAGTCTACCAACTAACAACACACTACAGACACAGTATACATACTGACAACACACTAGAGACAGTCTACATACTAACAACACACTAGAGACAGTCTACATACTAACACACACTAGAAACACAGTCTACCAACTAACAACACACTAGAGACACAGTCTACATACTAACAACACACTACAGACACAGTCTACACACTAACAAAACACTAGAAACACAGTCTACATACTAACAACACACTACAGACACAGTCTACATACTAACAACACACTACAGACACAGTCTACATACTAACACACTAGAAACACAGTCTACATACTAACAACACACTAGAGACACAGTCTACATACTAACAACACACTAGAGACACATTCTACATACTAACAACACACTAGAAACACAGTCTACAAACTAACAACACACTAGAGACACAGTCTACATACTAACAACACACTAGAAACAGTCTACATACTAACAAAACACTAGAGACAGTCTACATACTAACAACACACTAGAAACACAGTCTACATACTAACAACACACTAGAGACAGTCTACATACTAACAACACACTAGAGACAGTCTACATACTAACAACACACTAGAGACAGTCTACCAACTAACAACACACTAGAGACAGTCTACCAACTAACAACACACTAGAGACAGTCTACATACTAACAACACACTAGAAACACAGTCTACATACTAACAACACACTAGAGACAGTCTACCAACTAACAACACACTAGACACAGTCTACATACTAACAACACACTAGAGACAGTCTACCAACTAACAACACACTAGACACAGTCTACATACTAACAACACACTAGAAACACAGTCTACATACTAACAACACACTAGAAACACAGTCTACCAACTAACAACACACTAGAGACAGTCTACATACTAACAACACACTAGACACAGTCTACCAACTAACAACACACTAGAGACAGTCTACATACTAACAACACACTAGACACAGTCTACATACTAACAACACACTAGAGACAGTCTACCAACTAACAACACACTAGACACAGTCTACATACTAACAACACACTAGAGACAGTCTACCAACTAACAACACACTAGACACAGTCTACATACTAACAACACACTAGAGACAGTCTACCAACTAACAACACACTAGACACAGTCTACATACTAACAACACACTAGAAACACAGTCTACATACTAACAACACACTAGAAACACAGTCTACCAACTAACAACACACTAGAGACAGTCTACATACTAACAACACACTAGACACAGTCTACCAACTAACAACACACTAGAGACAGTCTACATACTAACAACACACTAGACACAGTCTACATACTAACAACACACTAGAGACACAGTCTACCAACTAACAACACACTAGAGACAGTCTACATACTAACAACACACTAGACACAGTCTACATACTAACAACACACTAGAGACACAGTCTACATACTAACAACACACTAGAAACACAGTCTACATACTAACAACACACTAGAGACAGTCTACCAACTAACAACACACTAGAAACACAGTCTACATACTAACAACACACTAGAGACAGTCTACCAACTAACAACACACTAGAAACACAGTCTACATACTAACAACACACTAGAAACACAGTCTACATACTAACAACACACTAGAAACACAGTCTACATACTAACAACACACTAGAGACAGTCTACCAACTAACAACACACTAGAAACACAGTCTACATACTAACAACACACTAGAAACACAGTCTACATACTAACAACACACTAGAGACAGTCTACATACTAACAACACACTAGAGATACAGTCTACATACTAACAACACACTAGAGACAGTCTACATATTAACAACACACTAGAGACAGTCTACATACTAACAACACACTAGAGATACAGTCTACATACTAACAACACACTAGAGACAGTCTACATACTAACAACACACTAGAGACACAGTCTACATACTAACAACACACTAGAAACACAGTCTACATACTAACAACACACTAGAAACACAGTCTACATACTAACAACACACTAGAAACACAGTCTACATACTAACAACACACTAGAGACACAGTCTACATACTAACAACACACTAGAAACACAGTGACTGGTAAGACCTCTGGACCAGGGTGCCAAAGCAGGGTCTGATAACCTGGGAAGACCCAGATACATTGGAGTCAGACCCAGGTAAAACCAGGGTTCCTAGTCTGGTATAAACCTACCTGCTTGAGGCCGGTGACTGAGTAGGCATGTCCTTTCACCAGCTTCTTGAACGTGACAGACTCCATGTCAAAGGCACTGGTTATCTGTAGTCACAAGATGTAATTAGAAAAATACAAGATCCATGATGCATCTGAATCAGTGTTATCTTATTGTGGGGCTGGATGAATTGACTATTTTATGCTATTGTGGTGGAGCTGATTTGGAACCACGCTCTCGCAATGAGGAATTTCCCCTTGGCCTAATGGTTAAGATGTCGAATCCGACCAGTTACACTATGTCCTGCGAGGTCATGATAATGTTGTTTTATGACTACGTTAAAGCTATGTTATGACTATTTCAAGGTCATGATAATGTTGTAGGAACATCAAACTAACTGTCCCCTGGCTGTTTTCCAGGACCGCAGTACCAGGAGGACCAGGGAAGGGGGACTCACGTCGATGGAGCAGCCCAGCAAGGAGCCTCTGTCCAGGGCTTTGCTGATGATCCTGTACAGGTCCCGTGGAGCCTTCCGGAGCTCGTACATCTCAGACACACCACCGGTGAAGTCCTCAAACCCTTCTGTGGTGCTGCCTCCAGACAGAGCCTCGTAGGAACCATTCAGCCTGACGGGGGGAGACACACAGGGATACACATTCACTTATCAGAGACAGTATTAGGGCGGCAGGTAGCTTAGTGGTTAAGAGCGTTGTGCCAGTAACCGAAAGGTTGCTGGTTCTAATCCCCGAGCCGACTAGGTGAAAAATCTGTCGATGTGCCCTTGAGCAAGGCACTTAACCCTAATTGCTCCTGTAAGTCGCTCTGGATAAGAGCGTCTGCTAAATGACTAATTATTATTATTATTATTATTATTACACACAGGGATAAACACACGTCACACATCATGAACTCTATATGACAGAGTGTTTATACTACATGCACATGGGCCCTGGTTAAAAGTAGTGCACTTAATAGGGAACAGAGCTCCAATTTGGGACGCAACCCAGGCCTTTGTTGACGTACTTGGAGTAGGCCTTCTCCAGCAGGGCGCTCCAGAACTCATTGCCCTCGGCGGAGTGGACGAACAGCAGCTCTCCATCCTTCGTTGGCAGCCGGTCATCAATCACCACGTCCACCCACTCACCAAACTGCCAGAACTGAAGACAGAGAGACATCTTTTTTTTTTTTTACCAACTTCAGCTGGGTAGCAAAACACTGAACACAGCTGTCTCCTGAAACCTAGGGTGGGTCTCAATAAAACAATGGTGACTTCCTTAAAATGCTACCTCAAAAGGGCAGCATTCTTGTGGACTGAGACTGACCCTAGTCTCACAAGCCAATGTAGACCACACAAGTAGTAATAATATATGATTATTGTTTATCAGTCACCTGATAAACATATCCAGTATGGTTGTGAACGTTTAAACAGAATTGAGATTCTTAATGTTAAGAAAAATCCCTAACGAAGAAACTATGTTTTTGTCCACACAAAATTGAAATCCCAGCTGTCTTGCCTGCTCTCTCTCTCTTCCCTAAGGAGGCCAGTGTGTTCAGTCTTCGGTCTGCTGCCTGTAGAATATCCCAGCCTATTCTTTGATGATAGGCCCTGCTTTACTGAAGTTGCGAGACATTGCAAGCCAAGATATTGCAAAATACAGCATTCCATTGTGAGATACAGCTTTTGATTGAAGATAGATAGGACTAGTGCACGGTTCTGACTGTCTGTCTGGTGGCTGACCTGCCTATACTGATAGATGGGCCTAGTGTACGGTTCTGACTGTCTGTCTGGTGGCTGACCTGCCTATACTGATAGATAGGCCTAGTGTACGGTTCGGAAGATGTGTTTTCTTTCTACTAAAAGTCACGGTATTTAACTAACTTTAAAATAAAAAAAATTAGGAGAGAGTGATCTGCGCCCAGGCAGCAGGCAGGCAGGCTGCACGCAGGCACCTCGAGATTATTTGATTGACAGTTCAGGTCGTCTAGTGATGGACATTAGTCGCACTTCAGAAAGCGGCATTCCTTTACAGACAAGTAAATGCCCATTCAGTGGCGCTTCTAAACCATCTCCAGAGAAGGTTGTGTGTCAGCATTTAGAAAGCTGTTACCCTTAAAGCCAACGTATGCCTGATCAGCCCTCTGTGCTGCATCGCCGTGCGCCTCCCAAATTGTGAAAGAATGCAGAGGGCTCCATATACAGTAGCTCTGTATAGCTCCGCATTGACATGATTGGTTGATGGTCGGTGGGGGGGGCGGGAGGTCCTGTATAAACACAAACTCACTTCCTTAACAACAGGGCTGCGCTGCTCCGCGAAGTGCAAGAAGTATGAATGTCCTGACTTCTGCAGAGGCCATATCACCGTAAATGCTGCAGGGCCAATGCAGACGTCGGATTGACCATGCAGCACCTTTTACAGATAAACAAACATGTCGTAGCCAAGGTGCTTTCAAAGGTATAGGACTGCAGTATATATATATATATATATATATAACGTCATTGCCTGGCACTAAACGTAAAGCAAAATTGGCAATTTGTCACATCCCTATTATCCAACTACATCGTGACCGTGATAACACGGGTTGCATGTTTCGTCACATTACTGTTTTGAACTCAATGCATCCTCATTGGGCGCTGATGAAGATTTTTTGGTCTAAAGTGCATTACTATGGCTTGGAAACACGATGACATTTCTAAAGGCAAATAATTAGTATGAAAACCTTTTGTCATCATTTTAATGTCATCATTTTAATGTCACCAGATTTACTTTAAAATACAGTATAACTTTATATAGCTAGCTAAGATTAAGCGGAGTTTAGATAGCTAACGTTAGCATTGCTAGCTATTTTTGAATAATTTTGCTAGCTAATGACATCAGTCTAAAGTAAATTTGACGACATGATAATGATGGCAAAGTTGTTTCCTACTAAATATTTGCCTACTTTAGCAATGTCATCGTATTTCCAGGCGACTATTGTGTAATTTAGACGAAACAGTCATTAGCCTCCGTTCAGAATGACTGGGTTTTGGGCACCACAATGGCGGAGGGCGTCTTGGATGACGCGACCGAGTGGCGGAGGTGCGATCTATGAATATAGTCACTGAATAAGTGCTTCACTTCAAAGTCTATTGATTATCCCTGTTCAACTGACTCAAAGAAGGTCCATTATGGGTCGATCATTTCAGCAAACAAGAGATTCATATTATTATTATTGAATTTAATATAATGTAATTGCCTTGCCGATGGAATTAAAGGATGCTATAACCCTGCAAGTGTGTTCGGTTTACATTTACATGGAACCTGACAGGAGGGAGATGCTTTTGGTGTGTGTGTGTGTGTGTGTGTGTGTGTGTGTGTAGTCGTACCTGAAAGTGGAAGATCCCAGCGTAGTCCTCTTGGAAGGACTGACCATGAGGGACCACTCGGTGGAGCAGCCTCTCATTGAGTGTTAGAGAGGCTATGGCTGCTAGGAGCCAGCAATCACCTGGGGAGGGAAGGAAGGAGGGGGGTAGGGAAGGAGGGAGGAGGGGGGGGGGGGGGGGGGGGGGGGAGGAAGGAGGGGGGGGGAGGGGAGGGGGAGGAGGGAGGGGGGGGGGTAAATACTTTTGTTGGTTCTCACTGCCCACAAAATGAGGTGGAAACTGAGCTGCACTTCCTAACTTCCTGCCAAATGTATGACCATATTAGAGACACATATTTCCCTCAGATTACACGACCCACAAAGAATTCGAAAACAAATCCAATTTTGATTAACTCCCTTATCTACTGGGTGAAAAACCACAGTGTGCCATCACAGCTGCAAGATTTGTGACCTGTTGCCACAAGAAAAGGGCAACCAGGTGAAGAACAAACACCATTGTAAATACAACCTATATTTATGTTTATTTATTTTTATTTTTGTACTTTAACTACTTTAACATAATATGACATTTGAAATGTCTTTATTATTTTTTAACTTTGTGAGTGTAATGTTTACTGTTATATTTTTTATTGTTTATTTCACTTTTGTTTATGATCTATTTCACTTGCTTTGGCAATGTTAACATATGTTTCCCATGCCAATAAAGCCCCTTAAATTGAAATTGAATTGAATTGAATTGAAAGAGAGAGAGAGACAGAGAGAGAGAAAAATTGTTGCAATCATTTAATTGAATGGCCAGCAGGTGGAGTGTGTACCAGGCTGTGCTTGGGAATGGATGTCAGCCAGGGCCAACCCAGCTCTGGTCCAGGACGTTAGTGTGAAGTTGGTTCCTCTAGGGGGAAGGCTTAGTGTTAGCTAGCAGCACTAACACCCTGGACCAGAGCCAGACCAGTGTGTACTGTCCTGCCCCACAGTCCAACTCTGTTCTACGAAATATCCACACTCTGAACCTGTGAAAAGGGGAACTTGTTTGATTTCCTGAACCAGCTACTACCGCACTCTAATTTAATGGAGGTTAATTAAACAGGCCACACATTGATGACTAAGGTAAAAGCATGTTGTAAATCTTGAGTAGGGTGGAGGCAACATGAGATATGATGTGGGCACTATCAGTGCATTCTCTGTGTAAAAACCAGAGAGAGGAGAGAGGTAAGATGACAAGACTTTGTGGTTGTCTTACCTAGCTACCTAGCTTAGCTACCTAGCTTACGTTGAATGCACTGACTATAAGTCGCTCTGAATAAGAGCGTCTGTTAAATTGTATATGTAATTATGTTGTTCCGTCATTCTTGTACAAGCCAAGTACTGTGGTAGACCGTTGGGGGTTTAGCAAAGAGCCTTTCAGGTAGTACTAGTAAAGTTTTTTTTTAAAGACTTCTGGTCTCTGTTTACGCAGAACTCACCTAGCGCTCCCTGGCAGATGTCTGTTCTGGTAGCTCCTCCCAGGATGAACTGAGGGTCATCTGTCAGCTCCTGGAGGGAAGGAGAGCGAAGGGAGGACTGGATTAGACTCTGGTAAAAGTCACTGACTGTAGGTGAGAGGGACTGCACAGCAAACAGACATTCTTGGACTGTCTTTTTCCTATTGATCTTCTCACAATTCAACAATTAAATTGACCTGTGGAAGTACATTTATAGCATTTATATGTCTGATGATTCTATTTTTTCTGATAGCTGAGCATATCTGGCTCTCTGAGCAATTCTATAACATATGCAACGGAGGTAAACAAGTGGCAAATCTAGGAAGTGGTAAGGAGAAGACTGGTCAAAAGGAGAAGACTGGTCACAAGGAGAAGACTGGTCACAAGGACTGGTCACAAGGAGAAGACTGGTCACAAGGACAAGACTGGTCACAAGGAGAAGACTGGTCACAAGGAGAAGACTGGTCACAAGGAGAAGACTGGTCACAAGCTGCACTGGTCTCTACTGGACAGACTGAGAACTTCCTTCCAGTTCCTGTCTCTCTACTGAGCTGACTGAGAGGTTCCTTCCTGTTCCTGTCTCTATTGGTCTCTACTGGACTGACTGAGAGGTTCCTTCCTGTTGATGTCTCTACTGGTCTCTACTGGACTGACAGATGTTCCTTCCTGTCTCTACCGGTCTCTACTGGACTGACTGAGAGTTTACTTCCTGTTCCTGTCTCTACTGGACAGACAGAGGTTCCTTCCTGTTCCTGTCTCTACTGGACTGACTGAGAACTTCCTTCCAGTTCCTATCTCTACTGGTCTCTACTGGACTGACAGATGTTCCTTCCTGTCTCTACCGGTCTCTACTGGACTGACTGAGAGTTTACTTCCTGTTCCTGTCTCTACTGGTCCTTACTGGACTGACTGAGAAGTTCCTTCCTGTTCCTATCTCTACTTGTCTCTACTGGACTGACAGAGGTTCCTTCCTGTTCCTGTCTCTACTGGTCCTTACTGGACTGACTGAGAAGTTCCTTCCTGTTCCTGTCTCTACTGGTCCTTACTGGACTGACTGAGAAGTTCCTTCCTGTTCCTATCTCTACTTGTCTCTACTGGACTGACTGAGAGGTTCCTTCCTGTTCCTGTCTCTACTGGACTGACAGATGTTCGTTCCTGTCTCTACTGGTATTTACTGGACTGACAGAGGTTAATTCATGTTCCTGTCTCTACTGGTCTTTACTGGACTGACTGAGAGGTTACTTCCTTCATGTCTCAACTGGACTAACTGAGAGCTTCCTTCCTGTTACTCGCGCTACTGACTGGTCTCTACTGGACAGACTGCGATGTTCCTTCCTGTTCCTGTCTCTACTGGACTCTACTACACTGACAGATGTTCCTTCCTGTCTCTACCGGTCTCTACTGGACTGACAGAGGTTCCTTCCGTTTTCTGTCTCTACCAGACTGACTGAAAGGTTCCTTCCTGTTCCTGTCGCTACTATACTGACTGAGAGCTGCCTTCATGTTCCTGTCTCTACTGGTCAGACAGAGGTTACTTCCTGTTCCTGTCTCTACTGGTCAGACTGAGAGGTTACTTCCTTCCTGTATATACTGGTTTTTACTGGACTGAATGAGTGGTTCCTTCCTGTCTCTACTGGACAGACTGCGATGTTCCTTCCTATTCCTGTCTCTACTGGACAGACTGCGATGTTCCTTCCTATTCCTGTCTCTACTGGACAGACTGCGATGTTCCTTCCTATTCCTGTCTCTACTGGACTGACTGAGAGGTTCCTTCCAGTTCCTGTCTCTACTGTTTTCTACTAGACTGAGTGAGAGTTTACTTCCTGTTCCTGTCTCTACTGGTCTCTACTGGACTGACTGAGAAGTTCCTTCCTGTTCCTGTCTATACTGGTTTCTACTGGACTGACTAAGAGATTCCTTCCTGTTCCTGTCTCTACTGGTCTCTACTAGACTGACTGAGAGGTTCCTTCCTTTCTGTCTCTACTGGTCTTTAATGGACTGACTGAGAGGTACCTTCCTGTTCCTGTCTCTACTGGTCTCTACGGGACTGACTGAGATGTTCCTTCCTGTTCCTGTCTTTACCGGTCTCTACTGGACAGACTGAGACATTCCTTTCTACCTGTGTCTACTTGTCCCATAAATGCCAGTCATAGCGGCAGCTGAAGGAGAAGGGTGTGACAGCCATGCTATAGTCTAGATTGGCAATCTAACTGTTCAGCAGTGCAATATACAACAACAACAACAACAACACAGGTCATACGACACTGATCAACCTACAGTGGCTTGCGAAAGTATTCACCCCCCTTGGCATTTTTCCTATGTTGTTGCCTTACAACCTGGAATTAAAATTGATTTTTGGGGGGTTCGTATCATTTGATTTACAGAACATGCCTACCACTTTGAAGATGCAAAATATTTTTTCTTGTGAAACAAACAAGAAATAACACAAAAAAACCAGAAAACTTGAGCGTGCATAACTATTCACCCCCCCAAAGTCAATACTTTGTAGAGCCACCTTTTGCAGCAAGTTGCTGCAAGTCTCTTGGGGTATATCTCTATAAGCTTGGCACATCTCGCCACTAGGATTTTTGCCCATTCTTCAAGGCAAAACTGCTCCAGCTCCTTCAAGTTGGATGGGTTCCGCTGGTGTACAGCAATCTTTAAGTCATACCACAGATTCTCAATTGGATTGAGGTCTGGGCTTTGACGAGGCCATTCCAAGACATTTAAATGTTTCCCCTTAAACCACTCGAGTGTTGCTTTAGCAGTATGCTTAGGGTCATTGTCCTGCTGGAAGGTGAACCTCCGTCCCAGTCTCAAATCTGTGGAAGACTGAAACAGGTTTCCCTCAAGAATTTCCCTGTATTTAGCGCCATCCATCATTCCTTCAATTCTGACCAGTTTCCCAGTCCCTGCCGATGAAAAACATCCCCACAGCATGATGCTGCCACCACCATGCTTCACTGTGGGGATTGTGTTCTCGGGGTGATGAGAGGTGTTGGGTTTGCGCCAGACATAGCGTTTTCCTTGATGGCCAAAAAGCTCAATTTTAGTCTCATCTGACCAGAGTACCTTCTTCCATATGTTTGGGGAGTCTCCCACATGCCTTTTGGTGAACACCAAACATGTTTGCTTATTTCTTTCTTTAAGCAATGGCTTTTTTCTGGCCACTCTTCCGTAAAGCCCAGCTCTGTGGAGTGTACGGCTTAAAGTAGTCCTATGGACAGATACTCCAAGCTCCGCTGTGGAGCTTTGCAGCTCCTTCAGGGTTATCTTTGGTCTCTTTGTTGCCTCTCTGATTAATGCCCTCCTTGCCTGGTCTGTGAGTCTTGGTGGGCGGCCCTCTCTTGGCAGGTTTGTTGTGGTGCCATATTCTTTCCATTTTTTAATAATGAATTTAATGGTGCTCCGTGGGATGTTCAAAGTTTCTGATATTTTTTTATAACCCAACCCCTGATCTGTACTTCTCCACAACTTTGTCCCTGACCTAGCTCCTTGGTCTTCATGGTGCCGCTTGCTTGGTGGTGCCCCTTGCTTAGTGGTGTTGCAGACTCTGGGGCCTTTCAGAACAGGTGTAAATATACTGAGATCATGTGACAGATCATGTGACACTTAGATTGCACACAGGTGGACTTTATTTAACTAATTATGTGATTTCTGAAGGTAATTGGTTGCACCAGATCTTATTTAGGGGCTTCATAGCAAAGGGGGTGAATACATATGCACGCACCACTTTTCCGTTATTTATTTTTTTGAATTTTTTGAAACAAGTTATTTTTTTCATTTCACTTCACCAATTTGGACTATTTTGTGTATGTCCATTACATGAAATCCAAATAAAAATCCATTTAAATTACAGGTTGTAATGCAACAAAAAAACGCCAAGTGGGATGAATACTTTTGCAAGGCACTGTAAGTGTCGTCCCATACTGCACCACATGCCAGCCATAGCAGAGTGTGACAGGGACAGGCATGCTGCTTTATAGACAAGGAAGTAGGAATGCAACGGTCCTGCAGTGCATTATGGGTCCATGGAGTGAACAACAAGACTGGTGGTCAACCTTGTTTGATTAATGTGATCTGTGTGTGTAGTGTACATACTGTCCCTTTATAACTGAATCTAACATCAGCTCTCAAACCAATGACACGCCTCTCCCTACAAATCAACTTCCCTGAACTACCCTGCTAGTATGAAAATGACACACACACAGCCATGGTCCTCTGTAGCTCAGCTGGTAGAGCACGGCGCTTGTAACGCCAAGGTAGTGGGTTCGATCCCCGGGACCACCCATACACAAAAGAAAATGTATGCACACATGACTGTAAGTCGCTTTGGATAAAAGCGTCTGCTAAATGGCATATTATTATTATTATTATTATTATTACTTCAACCATCACCCACTCCCTGTCTCTCTAGCACCCCTCTCACCGTGGGCCTCATCCATTCCGTGTCCAGCTAACATCAGCTCTCAAACCAACAACACGTTCTTAATGAACTGCCCTAAACTATGCGTTAGCATTTAACTGAGACGCAGAGACTTTAAACCATTACCCACTCCTCTCTCTCTCTCCTTCTCTCTCTTTATCCCCCTCTCACCGTGGGTCTCATCCATTCCACGTCCCTGGTCTTGGCGGAGTAGGGGGCCAGTTCCTTGAAGCCCAGAGAGGGAGGCTCGGCTAGGAAGGAGGGGTCCTCGAACAGACACCCCGTCTCCAGACACTCCTGCCGCAGAGCCTCATAGTCCTGGTGGAAATGAATAAAAATAATGTAATAAAAAAAGAACACATACATCAATAGATACAGCAACAAGATGTGCGTTTGATCTTGAAAGCATTAAATCAATCTTGAATTATTAAATAGTTATTTCCAAAGTGGTCCTCGACGGTAAAAACAAATAACATCTAATAAAAAAAAGACTGCGTCCCAAATGGCACCCTGTTCCCTATGGGCCCTGGTCTAAAGTAGTGCACTATATAGGGAATAGGGTGCCATTCTCTGGTCTAAAGTAGTGCACTATATAGGGAATAGGGTGCCATTCTCTGGTCTAAAGTAGTGCACTATATAGGGAATAGGGTGCCATTCTCTGGTCTAAAGTAGTGCACTATATAGGGAATAGGGTGCCATTCTCTGGTCTAAAGTAGTGCACTATATAGGGAATAGGGTGCCATTCTCTGGTCTAAAGTAGTGCACTATATAGGGAATAGGGTGCCATTCTCTGGTCTAAAGTAGTGCACTATATAGGGAATAGGGTGCCATTCTCTGGTCTAAAGTAGTGCACTATATAGGGAATAGGGTGCCATTTGGGATACTGCCACGGTTACAAAACCATTAGAAACAAACAAACTGGCCTGGTTAAGGAAGGGGACAGCGTGGTCGTTGGAGCCCATTCCCTCGGCTCGCAGCCTGCTGGTGGCTATGGTAGCAGAGATTCCCCCTGACATGCTGACACAGGACAGGATATCCTGTAAATACAGTCAGAGGCATGGGTGGGCGCTGCACAGGCAAATCAATTACAATACTTTAGCCGGGCTTGATTGAATTTGCCTGTTGCAATGGAACCAATAGCCTGCTCTACTGTGTATGCTAGCGGAGATCTCTCCTGACATACTGGTCCAAGGGATATTAATAAGAGGGCTGGGTTGGGTGCTGCAGTGCACAAGGCCACACCTGGGTTCAAATACTATTCGAAGTCATTTAAAAATACTTTAGCTGGGGTTGATTGAGCTTGTCTGTTGCAATGGAACCAATGATGTAGGCGTACTACTGCCACCAACCTCGTCCACCTGACTCTCCAGGCAGGCCAAAGCAAAAGCTCAAAGTATTTGAACGATTGAATAGTGTTTGAACCCGGGTCTTGGACAGGCACTGGGTAGAGGGTATAAATAGCAGCGAGCTACGCTAACAACAGAGCGGAACACTGACACAAAACCTGTAGCATAGCAACCATCTATTCTATTCTGGCTTGTCTTTGTTGATTGTTTGCTGTTTTACTCGTTTTCTGTGTTTGTGTATTCTGACTGTTTTTCTACCAATGAACCTCCGGTCCTGTGATCTGTCTGTAAGCTTTCTGGGGTGGATCTTGTCATCGACTACTCTGGCCTTTCACACCAGTAGTGAGTCAGAGAGGTTTCAGAAATGTTTCCTACTTGAATGAGTCATAGAACACTGCTCAGAGCTCTGATAAGAGTTCCAGTTGAACACATGCATGAACACTGACTCTCCATTCATTGTTGTGTAATAATTCAGCTATTAGACTATTAGTTCATACATTAAGTCTCTCTACTGTATTTTTTCTTAGAGTCTTTTAGTTATTATAGTATTATAAATTAGTATAATTTAGTGTATTGAGTTTCTAATGAATACATGTAATAGTGATAGAGAATAAAATATATTTTGGTATAATTAGGATTACAGAAAATGATTATGGTAGAATTAGGATTACAGAAAATGATTATGAAAAAGAAGCAAGAAAAAATTAAACGAGCATAGTGGAAACGGTACTGACTGATCAGAGAAGCATACAAGGCCAAAAGCTGAGGTATGGAAGAGAGGTTAGGGTGAAACAGGGAGACAGAGACAGCAGTACAGTACATCTAACAAGCCCCCACACAGACACACAGAGAGATTAAAACCTGATACCTTGAGTCTCTGAGCAGGCTGCAAAGAAATAAGTGAAGAGAGGAATGTACCGTATGTAACCAATAACCCAATGTCACACAGTATGCACTTTATAAACACTGGTAAGGCTATTGCATTCAGAACCTTTAGGGCAACACCTTGAAAAAGAACACATTAGACCAACAAAAAAAACGTCACTCCACGCTGACAATCGAAGGTAAATAGGCAGAGTGATTGTTGGTAGTGTGGATAAATGATTGGCACTCTTCTCTCTCCCCTTAGAATAGGCTTCTCTCTCTTTCTCTCTCTTCTCTCTCTCTCCCTCCCCCCTCTCCCCTCTCTCTCTGCTCTCTCTCTCTCTCTCTCTCCCCTCTCCCCCCCCCCCTCTCTCTCTCTCGCTGTCTCTCTCTCTCTCTCCCCTCCCCCCTCTCTCTCTCGCTGTCTCTGAACAAGGTCTGGCACCGTGGCCAAGGGTTGTCCCAGAGTACTAGAGAAAGTTTCATCAGGACATCTGTACTGTGTTAGGCAATGTGAAGTCCTCATTCTGTACTGTGTTAGGCAATGTGAAGTCCTCATTCTGTACTGTGTTAGGCAATGTGAAGTCCTCATTCTGTACTGTGTTAGGCAATGTGAAGTCCTCATTCTGTACTGTGTTAGGCAATGTGAAGTCCTCATTCTGTACTGTGTTAGGCAATGTGAAGTCCTCATTCTGTACTGTGTTAGGCAATGTGAAGTCCTCATTCTGTACTGTGTTAGGCAATGTGAAGTCCTCATTCTGTACTGTGTTAGGCAATGTGAAGTCCTCATTCTGTACTGTGTTAGGCAATGTGAAGTCCTCATTCTGTACTGTGTTAGGCAATGTGAAGTCCTCATTTTGTGTGGGAGAACAACATGGAAGAAGAACAATGCAGATTATATTTCTCTCACTCTTTCTCTCTCTCTTTATTTCTCTCCATATAAGGAGACAGAACTGTTTGTTGTGATTTCCCCCAAAAAATATTTGACCTTGAATCGCAAGTGTAATAAACTTTAGACAACCCAATTGTGTTTAGTATGCCAGAACTGTACTTGACTGGCATTCTGATGAGGAAGAGAGAGACTCTGCTGGGAAACAGCAGGTCCTATGCGTGAATAGACTGACTGGCACAGTTCCAAGAGGGGTGGAGGGGGGAAGTGAGAGAGAGAGAGAGAGAGAGAGATAGAGAGAGAGAGAGAGAGAGAGAGAAGAGGAGAGAGAGAGAGAGAGAGAGAGAGGGAGTAGAGATAGGAGAAGAGAGACAGAGAGAAAATAGAGGGGGAAAAGAGAAGGGGACAGGAGAACTCTCTCCCTCTCCTTCTCTTCCTTCTCTCCCTTTTCTCTCTCCTCTTCTTGCTGCTCTCTCCTCCTCCCCTCCCTTTTCTCCTCTCTCCCCCCTCGCTCCTCTCGCCCTCCCCCCTCTCCCCTTTCCTCTCCTCTCTCACTCTTCCCCTCTCTCTCCTTCTCCCGCTCTTTTCCCCTTCTTATCCCTTTCTCGGCTTCCCCCTCTCTCTTCCTCGCCTCTGCTTTTTCGCCCTCACCATCTCCCTCTTATTTCTTTTCCCCTCTTTTGGTCTGCTCCCCCTTTTTCTCTCACTATCTCTGCTTCCCTTTTTCCCTTTTTTTTGGTTTTGCCTTTTATCCCCAGCGCTTCCTTCCTGCTGGGTCCCAGCGGTTTTGCGTGCAAAATCCTTTTATTTTCCCTTCCTTCCCCCCTTTGGGCCCCCCCCCTTAAGCCCCCGACCCGGGTCCCAAACCCCCCTTTTTAGAATTTAATGGAGACAATGGATTTGATGGACCTCTAACACTCTTTCTGCTCTCTGCAATTCCAAGGGTAATTAAAAAAAAAAAAATGGGGGGGGGGGAACTCAAATAGAGAGAGAACAGATATGTTGAGAGAAGAATCTCTCTCCCTTTCTTGCTTTTCCCTTTCCTTTGTTCTTGCCCCTTTTTTATTCCCTCCTCTCTCTTTTCCCATCTCTTTCCCCTCCTCTCTCCCCCTTCCTTTCCTTTTTTCTCACCTTTCCCCAACCCTTTTCCCTCCTTTCCCCCCCCTTAGGGGTTTTGCCCCCCCCGGGATCCGTTCCTCCCTAACACCCAGGTTCCCCTTTATTACCTCCCTTTTCGGGTTTCCCTGAAGTTTTTTAAACCCTGTAAGCTTTGGAGGCCTCTTTCAGGATGAATCTGCCTATCCATCACGAGTATTTCCTACTCGGTAAAGGGTCAAAAGCTTAGCGTGTTTGTCAGAACATGACAAACCAAAAAATCTTTATTCTCACAATATCTCTTCGCCCTTTGTTCCCCCCTATTCCCTGATCGCTTTTTTGGTAGGACTCTACAACGTCTTGGGCTCGTCTGAAGTGGGTAAGCCGATTGCCAACGTCCGCTGTAGCGTAATAAAGATGGGCTAAACCTTTTTATGAAATTCCACCCCGGCCACTTCTTTTCTCTAAAGTAACAACCCTTAGCTGTTTGTCAGACATGAGATCCAAAATTTATTTACTATGCTTAGCTCCCAGGGGCCAAAACTATTTGCCCATGATCTTTTTTTTTTGCTGTAGCTCACAGCCCTATGTGGTGGGTAAGGAGCTGCTTTTTGTAGCTGAAAGGGCTACACAGGGCCATTTTTTACTAGTTTAAAACTCGCTATAGTTAGTTAGCAGCTACGAGGCCCACTATTTGTGCTAATACTGCTTTTTACTAGATACTACGCAGGCCATGTGTGGGTAATGACTCCTTGTTGTTAGCTAGTTTACAGCAGGCCACTTTTTTGCTAATGAGCTGCTTGTTAGTAGCTAGCTACAGCAGGCCATGTTTGGGGCTATGACTCTTGTTAGTATAGTACAGCGGCCCAAATTTGGGCTAATGAGTTTCTTGTTAGTGTAGTAAGCAGGCAATGTTGGGCCTTAATGAGCTGCTTGTTAGCTAGTGCTCCCGCATTCACTATTTGTGGCTAATGAGCTGCTTGTTAGCTAGTAGCTACACAGGCCACTAGTGGGGCTATGAGCTGCTTGTTAGCTAATAGCTACAGCAGGCCACTAGTGTGGGCTAATGAGCTGCTTGTTAGCTACTAGCTACAGCAGGCCACTATGTGGGCAAATGAGCTGCTTTTTAGCTAGTACTACAGCAGGCCAATGTGGGGGCTAATGAGCTGCTTGTTACCCTAGCTAGCTACAGCAGGCCACATGTGGGGCAAATGAGCTGCTTGTTAGCTAGTAGCTACAGCAGGCCAATGTGTGGGCTAATGAGCTCCCTTGTTAGCTAGCTAGCTACAGCAGCCACTATGTGTGGGCTAATGAGCTGCTTGTTTAGCTAGAAAAGCTCACCCAGCCACTATGTGTGGCTAATGAGCTGCTTGTTAGCTAGATAGCTACAGCAGGCCACTATGTGTGGGCTAATGAGCTGCTTGTTAGCTAGCTAGCTACAGCAGGCCACTATGTGTGGCTAATGAGCTGCTTGTTAGCTAGATAGCTACAGCAGGCCAATGTGTGGGCTAATGAGCTGCTTGTTAGTTAGCTAGCTACAGCAGGCCACTATGTGTGCTAATGAGCTGCTTGTTAGATAGATAGCTACACCCACCAATGTGGGGGCTAATGGGGCTGCTTGTTAGCTAGCTAGCTACAGCAGGCCACTATGTGTGGGCTAATGAGTTTGCTTTTTTAGCTAGATAGCTACGGGCAGGCCACTATGTGTGGGCTAATGACTGCTTGTTAGTTTAGCTAGCTCAGCAGGCCACTATGTTGGTAATGAGCTGCTTGTTAGCTAGATAGCTACGCGGGCCAAATGTGTGGGCTAATGAGCTGCTTG